GATCTTCGCTAATTATTAACCGCTCAAAGTGGGCAATTGAAGCGCCCCCGAAATTGCCGCATAACGCAATCAATACATCATAAATGTTATTAAGTGCTGAAACTGTTTGACAAATGATTAAACGAAAAAATAATTAAGTTGAAAGAAGGCGATTATCCCAAAAAGGTAGCGAGAAAAGTTTTTCGTTTTGATAAAATAAAAAGATTAAATTCCTAGATTTTTCCAAAAACAATTGTTGTAAGGACAAAAGCTTCTGGGACAAAGTCTTTGTGAATAATGAACGTAAAGGAATATTTTTCACTCCGATGGGAGAACTGGGGTCAAAATTAGTTCACTCTTAGCTCAAAAGAGTCAAGTGTTTCACTAACAGAAGAAAGTTCAACAAAATATTATTAAAAACAGTGATATTGATGGTACATAATACATATGCATATGCTTGCTGTTACCATGGTGAAATATTATTTACGAAGAACCTTGTGTTACCAATTTTTATTCCATTTTCGTAAAATTATACTAAAAATAATGTTTTTTATGATAATATTGTTCGTTGCTAAAACCCAACATTGCATGTATTGTCAGTTGAAAAGATGCAATTATATAACGCTTAAAGATATAGCGGTGAACAGGCAGAATAAATAATAAAGCTATTCAAGTAATTCCCAGTGGAAAGAGAAAATATTTTCAGAGAAAACAATTATACAAAAATTGTCACATATGTAATACAACGGATTTACAGGAAAATTAATTATTGTTTAGAGACTAAAATTTAACCGATTGATTCAATGGAATAAATCTGTACGTGGTAAATGTACAAGAATAACCAATTTTAAATTGTTTATACTTCGTAACCACCCAATCACCGAGAGTTCAGTTGGGCAACAGATATTTTAAATAATATAAGTTAGATGAAAATTGAAAAATTTGATTGGGTTATCAACTTTTAAAGGAATTCGCTTTCCACTAATAAAGTCCGACTCGATCATGAAAATGTTTTTAAAACAGAGTCTTTAATTTTGCAGAAGGCACTTATCTCTTATCGCGTTTGATGGAATTTAAAGGCGAGAGGAATATTTCAACGGTCCGAGGAAAAGTGTGGTGCATTTTTCATGAGTTCGGGGGCATCTTCCGCACCGTCAGCCTCGTTGTTCCACCCCTTTATAACAGTATTTCTAAACGAGCATTTTCCTATCTTCCTAACGCACAGGAACTGCGAAAAATTCAATAAAATGATTCTTCAACATTTTCACATCCAGGCTCAAGAGGATGGCGGCGAATTCAGGTCAATCAGATTTAGCGTGGATGGGTCTACTTTTCCTACAGTTAAAACGTTTGTGGTGAAAAGGGATGGAAGCATTAAATCGTTACGCGCCCCGCTTTCAGCCTCTCATGCATATTCCGGTTGGAAACCCGAACGACGGGCGCTGGGGAAATTTTCACACAAACAGAGATTCAACAGACTTACAATTATACTTTTATTATCTTAAGAAACAAGTTGCTTTTTGGTTAGAATGAGGCTCGAACGACACTTTAACATAATAGAATGGAAATTTCTTTTTTCGAAAAGATGAAATTACTTTTATTAAAAAAATTATTTCAATTGATTCCAATTCGATAATTGGAAGTTTGATTAGTTCATATTCTTAGCGTGATGTCGTGTGTGCGGAAAAAATCCTGTTTTCTGGAAGTTTTACCCTAAAAGCTTAGCTGTCTTGCGCAAATTTCACTTAAGTATTTAAACCCAACTGAACCCTTAATTATGTTCTGCCACTATAACTTTGTTAACTCCTACCATCATTGATAAAATCAGCCATTATTTACGCAAATACAATTTTAACTTAATGTCAATACAGTACTTTTAAAAACAAGACTGGGGCACTCGTGGCCGAGGGGTTAGCACACCCGACTGGAATTTGGTATGCTAGTACCAGTGGGTTTGAATCCCTGCACAGCACTTGGAATTTCTTGTATATGTATTATAAACACAAAAGGTTTTGTAAAATGGTCCTCGGTACCTAAAGGTTACGTTATGCCCTCCTGTACGACAGAATTTTGTCCCTCTCCTTATGAAGTCGTAAGGATTTCTCATTATAAGGATAGCATTTAAACAGTAGTCTACAGTGCCGATCTTTGAAACAATCTAATGAATTTCCTGGAGAATTTTAGTTTCTTCAACAAAGTAAATAATTCTTCTCAGGGGATGGTATCAATTTCTGTATAGATCTGGAGCTGATACTTAGATGAAGCATGTTATGTGAATATGTCAATCAGAGTATCTTGATGCTTTCTGTTGAGAAGGATTTCCTCTTTCTCCATTTTGGACCGTTTTTGCCAGTCTTTCTGCTTGCCTCTTGCCTGGTTTACTCTTCCTGTTTTTGTTGTGTTACCAAAGTTTTCAGTTCTCTTTTAATTTAATTGCACTTTATGCAACAATATGGCCACTCAATAGGCGAGCCCATGAGTTGTTCCAGGATCCTTTTTTAACTAGTACAACTGCTGCCTCGTCAGGCTATTTGAAGATCCCGGTTTTTCGGGGTATTTAGGCAGTTCTAGGTAACTTGTGATGTGACCTCGTACGCTTGGAGATCCGACTTGCTGTCTGAAAGAATTATTGTTGCACCTTTCAGATGTTTTCTACTTATTTCATGCTTACATGTTTCCATTGTTAGCAGTGCGTCATGAAAGATAGTGCCCCGAGGGCCCACAACATTTACCATTGTCTTAATTACTAAATAAATTGATTTTTGGCTGAAGAAGTTGGAGATTTAGATTTTCCGAAAAAAATATGGAAATAGTTTCTTAATACTTAATAATAAATATCAATAGTTATCTTGCCATTTGAAATATGCTTCTATATCCTGCTATCCTGGAGAGCTAGATTAAAACTTTTTGGCTAATGAGAAATTAGACAAAAAATAAAAGTTTACGTATCTCGGTGCGTTTATGTGTCTGTTTCCCAAAAAGGCCTCAATAAAAAATAGGGGAACTCACGCTCACTCAGATAACCTCATACTGCATAATAAACTTCAAATAACTTAAATAATTAAATACTTTATTTTCTTGGCTCCTATGGCCAATTGGCAAGAACTCTCGGATACTATCACCAAAAACATTGAAGTATTCCACCTCTGTAAGGTGTAATAGACCTATATACAGGTAAGGGTGGCAGTTTTAGTTATAAGTTCCAGTGTAGCAGTGGGTGTTGTTTTAATAGCATCAATGATGCTAAGGGATCTGATTTTTTTATTTTTGAAGCATTTCCTCTGTATGTTTTTGATTTTTGGCTATCATATATAACTTGCATAAATGAACTCGTGTCTGATGATGGTAAGGTATAGTCACAAGGTCATTGTAGGATTTAGTCCGTAAGTTCTTCCATGTGTTCTGTCCATTGTGCCTTTAATGATACATTGAAGGCTCTCTTAATGTGACCAATCCAAATGGTTTATCTTCTCGAACGCGTCACCACTCAGTTGGACGTTAAGCCCTCCTGTACGACAGGAATTACTTTACTTTGTAGTACCTTTAAGAACAAGACAGGAAGATTAATCATTTAAGGGAACACTTGATGTTCACATGAAAAAGATTTAATAAGTTAAAGCTCTCCGTTGGATTGATACCGCATGTAGCAAGTTCGTTTTAATACGTGCGTGAGGTGTTTCAACCAAGAAAATAAACCGTACAAAGTTTGGCTTTTCAATAGATTTGAATTGAAACAGGGGCTTAGGTTAGAGATATGCTACTCGGGGAGACGGGCTCGGTGGCAATAAAAGGCGGTTTAGCGCTTTTAATATCGTGGCCCCCGTGAAGGCTTAGTACGGCAAAATCCTGTAAAAAAAGGTTCCATGAGGAACCATATGGGAAATTGATACGGGATATGAGCTTTTCTCGACTCAGATGGAAAGCTGCTTAGCGGAATACTTTCTTTCAGTTAAGAAATGTCTATTTAGCATAGTGTAGATCAAATGAACTCTACTGTTCTTGACAGTATTGGAAATTTCGTTTATCGATTCTCGTTAATTTTATTGCGTGTATTAATATATACAAAAAAAGTGCGTAAGTACAAAAAGCACTTTTTTTGCAACTGGGTTAACGACCGAACTGTTATTCATAGCCCGAGTTGTACGGAGGTAGTGCACTTAATGTTTTATAGTACAGGTAGGCACTTCGGGATCGCTTAGTGGCTTTCAACGAGCGTTTTCCGGAAAATTTATTATATCCAACAGACTACCGGAAAAATGAAATAGTCTCGATTTTCAATCCCCCACCCCTTTAATAATAAAACGGATCTGAAAGCAGACCGTTTATGAATAAATAAAGAGGTCTTTCCCCCCTCTCTCTCAGTTCGGATTAAATATTCAAGCTGCTATGCCATTAATTACTTTTTTTCTTTAAACGATTATTAAAACGCTGGTGACAGCAGTTTAGTTTATAAGTTTAAAATAATCGTTGCAGAAAGTAAATTACTACATTTGATTTTCTTAGGTGTACAAAGCAGTTATGTGTTACTGGGGATACTAAAAACGAAAACCATCTTTACTGCTGTAAGACACCAAGTAAAACGTTCAACAAGCAGCGATTTCTTACATTGAAAAATGTTAAATCCATTAAATTTTTTACTACCTTGCAATTAAAAGATAGGAGGAAATTGGGGCTTTCCGGGGGCTTAGCTGTGGGCCTCACGCGATAGAATCTATAGAAAAGGACTAAGGCCTGTTTTCTTCTTTTGGCTCTTTTTCTAATCGAGAACACCTGGGCTACCTTTTAACCTCTGGCTCATTCCGATCCATTTAACAGGAATCGTATCCACGACTGTTTCAAGAAAGACTCAATATACCTTCAGTAATGTCTTTTATCCTTATATGAAAAATTACTGTTGTCTCGGCATAGCAATAAAATATACAGTTGTGTGATAATAAAGCCAATGGGAAAACTTTTAAAACCGTTCGCTTACGTTGTTAATCCTTGATAGTTTCTGAAATTCATAAATATTTAAATAATTTGAAAATATGGAAAACACATGGTCGATGCCTTTTATATAACAGATACACCTAACAGAAAACAGACACAATGGCACTTAAAGAAGATATTACGGAATTTCAGTACGCAGTTCGCGAAATCTGTTCAAAAGTGATATTTCTTAAGTCTCATTTTGGTAATTTATGTCGGGTCGAATCATGATTGTACACAGTGCTATACTTGAACTTTTTTTCAGACCGGGTTAAAGTGACGGAATGGGTCAGGAAGCTGGCCACGATCCCAACGACGACATTTGAACAGACTAAGTTGAGGAACGACTATATACAGCTTTTGAGAATCACGGTACTGTCAGGGATCCTACACGGGATATTCGTTCACAATCCGCCATCGGGAGAACTACCTCCGCTGGCAGAAGCTGTTGTAAGTACAATCTCATAAAACCAATTTTAGCCTGCTCAGTACTATCGCCTATCCAGGAGATAAAACATGGAAGCATTACAAATGCTATCTTATTCTCTTTACAATAACAGTTACTTTTTTATGATGAAAATTTTGTCATTAAGACCGCATATATGTAACACGCTTGTATGCTGCCCATGCTTATCGTCTCAGGTACAATCTTAATCTGTCTTAATCTGTTAAAATATTTCGAATGTGTTATTTTATTACTAATGGAATCAATATCACACCGTAATTTTTCTAAAGAAACTTGAAAAGGGATAGCTATATTTATTTATCGGAAAGGAAGTTGAAAAGTAGTCATTTTAAAAGAAAACCATAATCAGTGTTATAAGTGAAATACGTGGTTTTATATAGTTGTTATAAATTATGAAGCAAAATAAAATTTTTATTTTATGTAAATTTTTAAATTTAATTTTATGTAAATATGTTTCTAACTTGGTGAGTATTGAAAATGACAAATCCTAAAAATTTATTAGCCTCATTAGTAATATTGGGTGCATGCTGGGAAAATTCAAGGATATGAGCAAATATTGGATAAAGATCTTTAAATGTGGACAGAGTTTGTAGTTGCAATTTGTTATTAAATTAAATTAATAAATTAGCTTTTGTATTACAACTCAAAAGTGGCACCGCAAAGCATTTATCAAAATTAAGTTTAAGTCCATTTTTAAGCACCAATCACTGAAATTAGGAAAAGCGATTTGAAGTGTTCTTGTGTCATTATCATTATGGTACAGCTTGACATAGTCAGCAAATAGTAAGAAGTTTATATTTTGAGGATTCAGGAACATAAGAAATAATAAAGAACCTAATGCAGCACTTAAATTACAGGTTGTTCAAGCGGCAGATAACTAAAAATTCCTCAGGATCTGTTTCTTTTTTGTGGAATCAACCAATGTTTACAATTTAGATACTACTTGTGATACCGATGACCTTTAAATCATCTTTATGTATAATATTTTTTGTTTAATTTTCAGGGTGCTGAAGTCGTAAGGCATATCCCAAAACTCGCCGAGGTCGGGCCAATTGCACCTTTTATGTGTCACAAGTCGCCAGACGGAAAGGCAATCGTGTCGATAAAGAAGCTCAGCGACGAAGGCGTGATGTGCTACTTGGCCGTCGCCCCCGAAGGCTTATAAACCCCTTGTGAACAGAGAAAGAATAAAATTTTCGAAAACTTTGCCCTGTTTTAGCCTGGGCGGGGTTACAGTTCGGAATACGACCCCATTTGCGATGCAAATCAGGGAAGGCCGGGGGCCGGAAAGGGGCGCAATGCATATCAATGCCGCCTACGGCAGAATCACCCCACATATTAGTTGCTTTGACTCGACTCAACTCCATGAAGCAGTACTCGACCCTCAACACCAAACAGGTCGTAATTAGCAAATCAAAAGCTGTCCCAACACGCGCCTACCAGCCTACCAAAGTAATGAGATCCCCTGCTCATACATGTTGTCATTTCATAAATAACCCTTATCGCTCTAAAAAAATATTTTTTTATACAAAATAGATATCTAAGTACAAGAAAAGGCATTTCATAATTTGGGCTAACATTTTATATTTTTACATTTCACGCGTTTTCATTGAAAACGTCTCGTAAGAGAATTCCAAGTTTTTCTGTTTTTAATAAGTTAACGTAATTCATCAGTGTAACCTTGGATAATTTGGCGAGCTACCACATACCGACATGCAAAAATTTGCCGTGACACCAACGAAATATAAGGTTGTCGAGGGGAAAACGAATAAGGAGGCGAACGAAGCTCTTTCTATCAAGTATTTGATGAAATTGACAAGTATCGAGACGGAAGATGAATTTCTGCAAATTGAAACTACACACCCTTCTATCCCTCGAATATATATTTAGGATTATTTTCTATTAAATCTTTTAAGCGTCAGGTTGGCTGTTGTCTGCTTCGTAGAGAGTTGTTTGCGAAGTGGAAAGTATAGATTTTTTCCTTAGGCAAATAAATTTAGACACAGCTGGATCTTAAAATGTTTTTTTAAGCTACGTGGATTGTCTAGTATTGTTTAAGTATTTGAATTCATAGTTTTCAAGGAGCAACCTAAATAGATTAAGGCTAAAGCCTAGTTCACCATAACAACGCTTAATCGTTAGATTTTTAGACATATTTGAGTATCTGAAGGTCCTTTTTGTTGAGGATGGAATAAAAAATTAATAAATGTATTTAAACATTTAGGTAAAAGATCTGTACAAAAATAATAATAATAATAAAAATGTCTGGATTCCCGGACATGTCGGCCTGGAGGGTAACGAACGCGCGGACGAGGCGGCGAAAGCCGGTATGTCCCACCCTCCAGATCGGACCATCGCGATCAGGCCCCCTGACGCTAAACACGNAAATAATAATAATAATAATAATAATAATAATAATAATAATAAAAATAATAATTGGTCAAGAGGACCACGCAAAATAGTGAATATAATAATTAATATTCAACCTGAAACTATTTAAAGAATTTGTTGTCCACTGGATCCACAATTCGAAACCTTTATTGCTTCGTTTGTAATTGATTTGTAATAGATTACAATATCCTGGCAAACTGAAAAGTCAAAAATTAACTATTGGAACCGGTAAACTCAAATGAAAAATATTCTTTTCGCTAAATCGCCTAAACTAGTCTTACTTACTTATATTACCAATAAAAGGAGTATTATAAAGTTTATAAGGATAGTAATGCGTGATACACTAATAGACCGAAGTCCAAATGGAGCGAAAACAGACAGTATAACGGTAAGAGTTGACAGATGAGGTTGCAGCCCCGATCCTCATGGCAAAGTTCAATAACGTGAGTGCGAAGACATCTTCAACAGTGCCCTCTCTCCGTAATTTTGCCTTTATTCCGAGCAATTGGTGAGAACCTTTTGTCGTCGATGATAATGTCCTAACCCCATCAAGCTAGAATGGTTGTGCGCTTTTGAAGAAGAGGAAACAGTCTACCAGTTTGCCTGACAGAAACCAACTGAACACTCCTAGGATCAACTTCACCGTAACAAACACAAGAAACATAAAGAATAAGTTGACAAATTGACGCTAAGCACTCTTTAAAGGGTAATAATAAGCACAAGCTCTAAGATGAGAATCATATTTTAATTAGAAGTATCGCTTTTTAGGCCACACACATTCAATAATAAGATTTGAAATATTACAGTATACAATTGATATAAAACGAACAAAAATAGATTGTAAAATTATAAATGAAAAAGTCTAAACTTAATAAATGCACATCAACCACAATTAAAAGGATTAAGTAAAATGGTAATTTTATAACATAATTGTTTTAACAATAAAGCATCATTTGTGTCATGAATATTTATTTTCATGGTTAAAACAGAAAGTCTATACACAATTACTTTTAAAAAATATGCAACATATTATCAACTGTGTGGGAATAATATCCAAATCACCATTGACTATCTCTGTACCTATTGTTATTTTTTGAAGACTTTCTCTTTGTAAGTTTCTTTGGTGCATAACTATTATTTTCCCAACAGCAACATTCTGAGGAGCTGGAGCTTGTATCATCTGATGAATCATAGCCATCAGTTCAGAATGAACAACTGCAGCAATCTCTACTACCACCTGATGAACCACTTGAATAATTTGGCATTCTCGAATTAATTCCTTTTTTGAAATGATGACTTTGTTCTTTGTCGTGGATTTGGTGGATTTCGTTTAGACTGTTCTGAAATAGCACATGATGTTAAATTTTCAATTTTGCCTTTGCTGATTGGCATCTATGGCATTGTGGCGACCGCCAATCATCTGCTCTATGTCTCCATCGGTTACAACTGTTATATGCCCAAGAGTAAGAGGAAAAATTGCATATTCATTTTATGTGAGGGAATAAAATATTTAATGAATACATCCTATACCATAGAAATGATAAATGATGGAGTGAGTGTGGTGTTCAATCCTTTTTGAAAAGATAGTTCCTACTCAGTACTGCAGTAAGTTGTTTTCCATCGATCCGGATTTCGAGTCCTTTAGCTCATCATCAGGTTGAAGGACTTCTCCAACCACGTCTCTCGACATGAATTGCAAAAGTGAACCCGCTGATACCTCCGCCAACGCGACGTTCCAATTAGCAGCTGATCTTTTTAACGGCGCTCAATTTGAACGTGTGAAACGCGGAAATTATAACACAAATAAATATTATAATAGTAAATACTGTAAGAAATTAATTATAAATTTGTGATTAAAGATAAAAGATAGAAAATTAGAATGATACCTTAATATTATTAAATTACTTACTCACTATTATTAATTATTCTTACTATTATTAAATTACTTAAAATTAATAAAATTACTATTAAAAATAATAACAATTAAAATAATCAATTTAATTATTTAGACATTTAATATTATTTATGTATATATTTAAAATGGGAGGTAGATCAAAATTCATTATATTATTAATGCATTTATCACCTTGTTCAATTTTACATTTTTTAATTTCAAATTTCTCAAACCAATCTAGTTTTTCCCTTTGTTGAAACTATGTAACACTGTTGTATTTAAATTTGAATTGAAATTGTTTTGTTTCTTTTAGATGGTCCTTAAATTCCGTAATTTTGCTCGATTTAGGCAAGTGTTCTTTTACGCTCATTTTTATTTCTCTACTGCTTTGTCCTATATATTGGGTTGTCCGGAAAATAATGCAGGATTTTGGTATTAANTGGGGTGGCTGAGTCCTATTGTTGATTCCTTTAAAGTTAATTTTTTTATTCTTTTAGCTAGCAACCTATCAATAAATATTTCTAGATACCCGTTGTTTTTTGCTAAGGTTTTAATAGTTTCTAATTCTTTTTTATAGTTAGCAGGTGTTAATGGAAGTTTTAACATAGGTCTATGAGTCAAATGAAACCATCAGCCTTTTGGGACCATGGGTGGGAAGAATCCGCTGGTATCATAGTGTCTGTAGTTGTGGGTTTTCTATATACGTCTATTTCTATTAGGTTGTTCATTATGGACATATCTAAAATATGTCTAAATAGGTCTATAGAAACGAGACATTTCCTCCAACAATTCCTGAGTGAAGATGGCGTAAAGCAGAAACGCGTTCGCGTACCTTCAAAAACCAGCGAGCATACACGGACCCGCGTACCCCATTAACGGATCTACGTGTACTCCTCTTTATAAAGCGCTCATTCCTTAAACAATCGTCGTGTTGTAGTTATATTGAGATTTATAAATCATTAAACAAGCTATCTTCAAGAATTCACAACCATACAACTTTGTGCCGACATGTGCGAGATGATACACTTAACTTAATTAAGTAACAAATTGTCAAAATTTCATCTCCCCAAAGTAAGTGGGGAATTTTATTATAACTTATATTAAAGAAAAACCTTTACGACGTAATATCCTTTTAAGGCCGTACTGCATACAAGTAATAAAGGCGATTCGAACGATTGTAAAAACCGTACCTTGGAGCTTTGATTTTTATTGAATGGATAACCCGCAGTTGAAGTGCCGCATTGTGCTTCGAAGGTGTTTGCCATGCAGTCTTGGCTGGGTCTGAGGTCGTAAAAAAAGTTGTTTCGAGGTCAAAAGCCAACAAGTTGAGGGGATGGGGATCTGGGACTAGCGAGTGATAAGAAATTGCTCTGAGGACGTCGGAGGTCGATGGGGCCCCCTCTAAGTGATTCCGTGACTCGAATGTGCGATCTACGCCTTTGCCCTTAACTTTTTACTCTCTTGTTCCAGAAATAGGGTAAAACATCGTGTTCTATATTGTTCACAACGGATGGTACATAATTAGCCGAATTGCCTCTTTGTTCACGTAAGTACTAAAAAGAAAACCAAGGCGAAGAAACAATTTACGCGTAACCTTTTGGTGCCGTCAATTTTAGCTGTCCTACAAAACGTTCCTATAAATATGTAAGTCGGCACTTAACGATCGATGATAACCGAAAAGTTTCAATAGGGTCAGGAATTGTAAAGAATAAAAATGATTGATGTGTAAAGATCACTCATGAAACCTTTTTAAAAATATAGTTCCTACTCACAGTAAGTTGTTTGCAACGATCCGGATTTCGAGCCCTTTAGCTCATCATCAGGTTGAAGGACTTCTACAACCACGTCTCTCGACATGAATTGCAAACGTGAACCCGCTGATACAATTAGGAGCTGGTTTTTTAATGGCGCTCAATTTGAA